CCCCGGTGGGAGTGTATAGCTGTACCAACTGTGCGAGGGGGAGCGCATAATTTTGAAATAGCAAAATATTGTAATTTTGTATTGCCAACTTTTAGGGAATTACTACTTACATTGCTACTAACTGATAATGCTGAAAGAACCACCTGCAGGGTAGATGTATTTTTCTTTTTACCTGAGATATTTTATGCCAGATTTATTTTAATATTCCATTATATATTATATTCCTTTATTTTATACAAACCTTTTGTTTAAGCAGCTCTCCAAACCTCAAAATATAAAAAAAAATTTCAAATAATTTTTTAACTAAGTTTTATTTCAATTCAATTGTTTTTGGTTTGAGTTTTTGTTCTTGTTTTGTCTTTGTATTTTTGTTTGTATTATATAATTTTGAATTTTTTTTTTTTTGGTTTCCATATTATTTGATAATTGAATTTGTCCATCGTATAGTATAATGCTTAATTAATTAGTTAATTTTTATTCTATTCCTAATATAAATACAAATACATTTTAATAATAAATATTTTGTTTTGATGTTTTTATTTGAGAATTTTTCATAAACATGTTTTGGGATTTTCTTTTTCTAACACGTTTTAGTTTCGGTCTATTCTAGTTGTTTAAGGATATATGTATATATATATATATATAGATATCAATTTGCTTCTCACCATGATTTTGTGTTAAATACTTATTTACTTATTAATTAGTGGGTTTTTAGTTACAACTACAGAGTAGAAAAGTTGAAATTAAAAATGGAAGGCAAAATCAAATGACACAAGATTTTCGTTTTAACAGAGTTGCCGTTTTAAAAATTATCCCAAAAAAATATGAAAATGATCCTTAAAACGGATCATTTTGTTTGGGAAAATCTACAACGGCAACAAAGTGGGAAATGAAAATATTATTATTTTCCTTTCTTTGGAAAATTGATTGAATGCCACCAGCCATGCTTATCTGCACAGGTGTTTGATACGTCCTTGTGGCTCGTTTCACCGGCTGAGGTTAGTAGAAAAACAAACAGAAAAACGAGAATTTCCAAATGCATAAATTACAGAAGGAATACGGAAAAAGAAAACGTATGTATATTGCCGTTACATTTTGGTTTGCTTGATATTAAACCCTATGTATTTACCACCTGCAAAAGTAACAAATCTATAAATATTTTTTTATACATATTTACCTTGGCTCTGTTTATGTATTTCGAAGATGGAAAATGTGTGTGTGAGTGTTGTATGAAATCTATACATGTTTTCGTTTACATATGTTGTGATGGAATGTATGATGTTTTCTTGCTTCTTTTCGTTTGTAGATATATTTACTTACAAACTAACTTATTACGCTAGGAAAAGGGATAAGAGGGCAGATCGATAGAAAGATTGGTAAAGAGAAAAAGTGTTGTTTATTTATCGGTTTTTTGTTTTTTTACTGGATTTTATTTATAATTAAGAAAAAAATATTTTCTTTATTATATACTAAGTTATGATACAATCGATTACATTGGTTGTTTGTTATATGTTTATATGTCTGTGTGTATATATGCATATAAATGTTTCATTGTAGACATTTGTAAATGCAAAGGTTTGGAAAAATTATTCATTAAAGTGATGGATACAAGCTAATGGAGTGAAAGTATTTAAAAAATTAGAAATTACAAAAGGGAATACTTAATATGTCTTTACATATTGGAAACATGTAAAAAAGCTGTAAGTTCGGCCGGGTCGAACTTTGAATACCCTATACGATGACGTGGACCTGCATAGGTAAATTTTGTCATAATACATTACAATATTCAAAGGCGAAACTTAAAAAAAAATCGGTTAATAATGTAGCTAAAATCATCAAAATACCGAATATCTGGTATAATACCATTATAAGGGGGCTATACGAACACTTGGATCTGCAAAGACAATTTTTTGTCTTAGGCTGTAGAATCCATTACGAACATCAAACACCAAATTTGTAACAATTCCGGTGAATAATGTCACTAAAATCATCAAAATTCCGAATATCGGGAGGTACCGTTATATGGGGGCTAAACGAAGACGTGGACCTGCATAGACAATTTTCTGTCATAGGCTGTAGCAGCCATTACGAACATCAAATACCAAATTTGAAACAATTCCGGTGAATAATGTCGCTAAAATCATCAAAATACGGAATATCGGGAGGTACTATTATATGGGGGCTATAACAAAACGTGGACCTACATGGCCCGTTCAAAAGTCCTGCAGACATAATATACAATTGAGTAAAACGTTATCATATACTTCATTTCGTTCGGAAGCTAGAGTGATTTCTACAGATGGACAGACGGATAGACGGACATCTCTAAATCGACATAGAATTTTATGCTGATCGAGAATATATATATATATATACTTTGTGGGGTCTAAAATGTGTATTTCGAAGTGTTACAAACGGAATGACAAACTTAATATACCCTCCAGGGTATAAAAAAGTCAAAGTTAAATATTCAATTTTAAATGAGGCATTGGAACCTACTCATCCAATGATCTCAATACACAATTCTTAAGTACCTAATTCTCAAGGGAAAATTGTCACCTAGTCGCTTAGCATTAAAAATCGCCGCTCAAGGCAAGTCCAAAATGTAAAGAGAAATTTGTTTTAGTTCTCCTTTGTCCTTGACAAAATTATATATCCTTATTGTAAGGCTTTTTTCGACGACGAAAAAGAGTTGATTGAGTACACGCAAATCCGCACGAAGTCGGTCAAGCTTTTAGTATTCAAATATGATCGTATAGAGAGAGAGCATCGACCAGTAGTGGGATTCTCTAACTAGTTTAACTTTGAGAAAAATGGGTAGGTATTAACATCTACTTTATTTTCGCCCATAACATACAGACAAATTTCGTTGATTAAAGAAATTAAAAGCAATTAAAAAATTGCTCTTATCAATAATTTTCGTAAATTATACAGAGAATCGTAATTGCTAAAAGAACTTTAAACGCATATCGACTTTTAACTTTTGAAGGCAATGTCCAAAATTACTAAAACTTTGCTCCAAACAACTACTACTTATAGGTTATTTAAAAGTGTTATATAGGCACCCATTTCGAAGTTTTGACCCTGTGTTGAAACGGAATTGTTTGAAATTGTTTATTGGGGTTTCTCATTGAAATCGCGATAACCCCGATATAATGGTGCCATCCGATTTCAGGTATTTTCATGGGTTTGGCCACATTTGGCAGCGAAATTTGCTATAACTTGATATTTGGGATTCCCATTGAAAATCGGGATCGGAATTGGTCTAAGTTTTAGCATAGCCTTCATTTTACGCCTCGGCTTCATGTTTAAGTGATTTTTTTTGTAATTTCGCATTGGGATAGATACCTTAAATCAGTAAAGTTCTTGTAATTGTAACTGGAACAGGATTGTCAGAAATTTATTTATTTGTCCTTCTAGCAGTACCTTGGAATTGCGGTTCATCACTTACGGTAGTAAAAAACTGAATACTACTTTGCTGAAGCATAGATCATTTAATCGTACCGTCCGACCTAAAATACCTTTAAGTTTTCATCCAATTTTATATATTTTTGAACAATTTTTGGTATTTTGAACGCCATTTACTCTCAATTTATGTTAAATATCGAAGCACAAAATACTCGACACTGGTCCTCATATAACGGTAACAGAATAAGAAGTCAACGCCCGGTGTAACGATGCAAATTGTTTTCTTTGGATCTCTTTACTTTTTACATAATGGATTTTCAATGCCCTCCCGACGGAATTGAGATTACTACATAAGCGGATGATCATAGGTCTGTCCAATAGTTAAAGCCACATTTTCGGGGTTACGCTCAAGTGTTCCATATACCATTTTGCAATTTTCAGATAAATGTTATTTTTAAGGTAATTCGGGGTGCTCCTTCTCAAATATTAGAAAACGTTAACACTATTTTCACTCCCCTATCCATAAGACAACAGAGGGCATATATCGCTTGATAATGCCCAGCTGTCTCTCATAAACGTAACAGTTTTAGATCCCAAATAAAATCCGTTCTAGGATATTTAGAGTAGATTAAGTCAATCTGTCTGTCCATCGATGAATTTGTAAGTCTCAGCGTGCGAGTACTCTCGACTGGGTTCAAACTTTGCACATCGTAATATATTTACAACACTTAGATCGAGATCGGAGAAATCGGTTTACTCTTACTAGTATTTCCCCTATAATAGTATATATATGCCAGTATATATTCAACATGGCTCTGTAATTAACCCCAAAAGGTCAACATTTTAAATAGTAAAAACTTCATTTAAGGCAGGAAATCAATGTTGAATTTTTGTTCATTCCAACATTTTTCTTCATATTTGAGCTGAAGTTAAAATAAGGAGTATCAACCTTCAAAACACTGAAATGTAAGGAGGGAACTGTTCTAACAAGAACCCCAATTGTCAAGTTTCAGCTAATTTTGTCATAAATTGTGGCAGAAACATTCAAAATATAGAATATCTGGAGGTGCCGTTATATGGTGGCTATATCTAAACGTGGACCCAATACCAATCGGCCTGCATATAAAACTTTGTGCCATGTATCAAAGCTCTAAATAAAATAATGTGAATAATGTGAACGACGAAAATTCGAGATGTTTCAAAGGAATGACGTGGAGGGTATAACTGCGATACTCCCTTAGATATTTATCGTGAATCTTGATATATATTTCGTTCCAGGAGACCTAGGGTCTAAAACCCCTATTTCGATGCGACATATTATGACCATAACAAAATATATATACCCTCGTAAGCAAATTTTTTTTAAAAATTCTTGGAGTTGGGGTTACCTTCTGAATAGGGTCAGAAAGGGGAATCGACACATGTTGATATACAGTATATTACAAAGAATAATTCAGGTAAGACGAGCAATACAGTCAGCAAGTTCATCCTTATAAATAATATTTTCTATATAATCTTTAACAGCAATAATAACCTGAAATTTAAGTAATATTTCAGATGATTTTACTCCAAAATATTGTTGACAATATGGAGATTTGATAATGACATTTCAAAGAGTGAGATATAGATGTGAATCTGAATCAATAAACTTAACATCAACTGGGCTTTGCAATGTAACGCAATAAAAAAATTTAAGACTTAAAGTATTACTACTCGGACTTTATCTACTCCGTAGTTGATATCTTTGTAAAACATGAGAAAATAGTGTGAAATTTGTTGGAACTATGTGAGATATCTTAATCCTCAAATTGATATTTATTCAGCAATCCCAACATATTTCCAAAGAAATATTATAAAAACCTCTGGAAATTGCTGAGTTCTAATTTAAATATGGAATCAGAACTTGATTAGAAGACCAAAACAAAGCTCTTCTAACCAGATACACCATTTGGACTCATCACTCGTTTTGAAACACCTTAGCTTTTATGGATCACTTTTATGTAAATAACTTTGAATTGATATAAATGTAAATATTTTGCAGATATGTGTTTATGTTTCTTTCTGTCTGTAGATATGTTCGTGTATGTGTATGTCTATATATGTTTGTATAGTATGTGTTATATGGTTGTGAAGCTTAGCTAAATGAATGCGAGTTTTGCTTTGACATTCACCACCCTTTGGGACAGTGAATATTTATTTCTTCGTTTTTTCTTCATTTTGGAATTGATTTGGTTTGTTTTTGTTTTTTATTTCATTTTTTGATCTAGCAAGAGGAACTAAAAGTTTTCTCAAAACTACATTTAATGTCAATGATAATATCTTTAGGATGTGTATACATTATAATGGAGGGAAGGGTGTTTAATTTTTTTCAATTTTCTCTTGGTAAAAAATTCAAAATTCCAAAACCAAAACAAAATTCAAATTAAAACCAACAACTTTTCTCTGATCTTAGACTAAATTGACTTAACTGTAAGGATAACTGTACACCTGATATTCATTAGCTTTTGAAAATATCATTCTGGGGTTCATTTAGTCTCTTTAGCATGGCGTTGCGATGCAACCAATATGGCGGTGGATCGGGTGGTTGGCCAGGCAGGGTTGTTTTGGTTTTCAGCGTTATTTTGGGATTGGTGGTGGGACTACTGGCAGCAGCAGCCAGGGCAGCATTGTACATAACGGGATCGGCGGCATGGGCCGAATGCCCAAGTCCCACCCGAAGTGGAACCTCTTTTTTGCGTATTGTGTCACAGGTTTCTTTCATTTTACATAGTTGATCTTGCAGATTACGATATTCCTCGAGAAAACGTTCCAACTGGGCCGCATGATAATCATAGGCTGTCACAGGGGCGGTGTTGGCACCACAGTGCATTGAGCTGCTCATGCCACTAGGTGTGCCCGCAGGGGCATTTGTAACACCCGTTCGACTGGCAAGTGTTGTAAAGTCTAGTAACGGTGTGGCGGCAGAACTTAACGATCTCTGATGCTGCTGATAGTCATGCACCGGTGATGATGGCAGACTGGGATTTTTCCTCGCTCCCGCAGCACTAGCTATTGCCGCCTTGTTCCCGGCCACATTTGCCAAAGCATTTTTACTCGAACTATGTACAAGATTCAGAAAACTATTCGATCTTTGGCCTTTGGTATATGTCACCGGTCCACCATAGTTTGAATAGGAGGATTCTGCCGAAAAACGTCTACCCAATGCAACTTCATTTAAATAGCCGGCATCACCCAAAGTACTGCTGCCATATTTACTTGAGTTGTCCGCCAACAAGGGACTTTGGCTATCGGAGGAATTTTTAAAATATTTACCGGTATTTTTCAGTTTTCTTGGCAGAGTACACAGGCCACCATTTGTCTGGCTGGCACTGGTGGCTTGGGCAACGGCATATTTGGCAATATCCAAGAGATCCGGATAATTACTATCGAATAAATCGTTGTCTGATGTTTCTTTGCCGCAAAATACCGATGAATTCACCTCATCTTTGGGGCTGTAGTAATCCAGGCTACTCGGCTGATGATTGTTGTTCAACGACATCTTAGCCGACGACGAACTCAGCGAAGAGGTTACCCAATTGGCCACATGATTATAACCCGTTGAGGATTGCCGTGAGGCAGCATCCACTTTGCCGGAAATAGAAACAGACCCTGTTTCCGTTGAAGATCTGTAAAGGAAAAGAAGAAGAAAAAAACGTGATTTTAAATTTAAATTAATTTCCCATTAAAGCAGATTCTCAACAGCCACTTGGTATCTAATTTTGCTTAATTATCATTTCAGTCTTAAAGCTACAGCACAGCCAACCAAAGCATAAAAAAGAAACAAAGAAAGTTTTATGCAAACACAAGATATCTCTTCAAATGTTAAGATGCTGCGGCGAAATTACTCTTATCCCGAATTGTCGCCATCTTCTGTTCGTCCGTCCGTCAGTTCGTGTGTTTGTTTGTTTGTTCTTCATACTTTCATGCTAAGGGATTATCCAGAGCACAAGTGTGGAAATGGAGCACATAAATTAAATGGATTAGAGAAAATTTGCAAACTTATTTAGTTCCACCACAGCAACAACATGCACAACAAATATGTGTATAAAATTACGTGAAATTACGAGGGTAGGGAAAAAGGAATTGGAAGCGCTGGAATGGAATCACAAAATTCTTTAATGAAACACAATGCAACAATCGCCCAATATAAGCCCTTGGTTGTGCAGAATGACCTTATCGAATATAATTATAATGAGACGTTTGCTAAGGCGACTAACACTTTAATTTGAATTCAGAAGACAGGTAGACAATTTTGAAGGCTAAGGTCTGCGAAAAAAGTAAGTCTGGTATTCGACACCTATGACCTTCCAGGTGAATAGATTAATGTACCGTAGCTCAAAAATTGAATTTGGAGAAAAATGTGTTTTCCTTCTTCAAACCAAATCGTTGGTCCATGAAGTTTTTCTTCCTTAACCCTATTCAGAATCCAAAATTTAGAACTTTTTTATTAATTTTTTGGTATTACTAGAAGTGAAGAAGTAACAGTGGACTTATATTTTACAGTTTCGTAACTGACCTAAATATGACACACATATCAAAATATGTATAACTTTTATTTAGTCTGACTGGGCCCCGTTCCCCTTATATGCGATATACAAAACTTGTTAAAACATGCGAAACAGGGTGTAAATTTATACTATATATATTCAGAAAAATTATTATTCAGCATTTTCAGCTTTTTTTAGGGAAGAAGTAGGGTTGTGGTTCCGATGGCTGAACATTTTTCACATTAGCTGTCTTAAATTTGCCATTTAGATTGCAACTTTTCTTGCAGCACTAATATAATGGTACCGCCCATCTTATGGAATTTAAAAGACTCCAACTTTTTTGAATGGGATATTGAAAGTTCGGTACGGTCTGTTTTGTTTTTTTTTTTCTTTCAGACTTTATGAGGAGGTATTTAAATAAAAAAATTCTAATTCCAATTCCAATTTTGTCCAAAGTCATCAAATATTGGTATTTTGTGGACTTTTGACACACATTTTAGCCGAAGTGGGTGCAACAAATTTTTTCTCAATAAGGGATGTATTTGGCCATATTTTTTTTTTTCAATTGGTGAAGGTTATAAACAAGTTCAATCGGTTGGGTCCGACTTCGCATTGGATTCTTTCTATACCTCCTTAAAGAACTATCATAGGGTGAAGGTATGTAGTTCAAATAATTAAAATATTGACATTTGGGTAAAAAAAATCACAAAACTGAGATTTTATTTGATTCTGCAACCCCAAAACAGTTTCCCACGATTTGAATATTCATCTCATTGCTGGTATCAACACTAGTGGAGATTTCATAATATATTAAAAATTATAAGGGCTCTAGAATGGTCTGGGCGCATGCTTCGGTCTATATGCATAATTATGTATATGACCACCTTTTATTCACACCGAAAGCAGTGCCAGCATTTACCGACGTAGCCAGGGGTGGGTCCAGGGGCCCCTTCCGAAGTAATAACATTTTAGACATTTTTTTGCGTATTTTGCTAGAAAATCTCAGCTTTTGTCGGCGGTACTCACGAAATGCTTTCGAAAGGCAATTCTGGCTACATCGGTGCCAGCATTAAAAAGTCCTCATTCAACATTATTTTTAATATTCTTACAAAGAACGAGGTAGAAGTGTTCCTTCTCCTGACTGTTATACCTATGTAAAATGGTGCCACCTCATAGAAACTCTAAAAGAACTAACCGTACAAAATTGCACTCAAATTTTCTTCAATGTAAACAGAATTTCTTACAGTTTGGGAAACAAGGGCAAAGAAAACCTTCTCCGAAAAAAATTGCCTAAATAGTAATTCTATGGCAGGTTTATGAACGGTAGACATTGTTGGCTTGCAGGAAGACTTCTAATAGCGATGTTTTTCTCAGATTCATCCTTCTATAAAATGGTTTCAAAGGATATCGAAACAACGTCAGAAAGTGAACCGATAGAGAGTGTCATCGCATCTACAAGGTTTTTCAAACCACAAGAATAAGAAAGGGAAATGTATTGCTCGATTATTTCGCAATTCAAAACACGTGTAGTTCATTTATGTATGAGATCTCTATTTGGAGAAATATTTGAAAAGAATCCCAGAGTGGTTTCGTATGTTATGAGAGGCATAAGTATTGAAAATTGTGACCCTTTGTGAGGGAGGTTCCCGAAAGGGTTCGCAGATATTTATCATCTTCAAATCGAATCTTGTATTAATAGAAATTTTGGAATGTGAAGAGAATTAAATGCATACTTCGCGTTTTACGAGCTTAATGTTTATTCAAATTGTTGTCCGGTTGTGAGGGAGATACCACAAGGATTGAACCGATTTCATACCAGATCCTGTGTTGATAGAAGTATTGGGATGTGCAGAGTATGGGATGAATCGGATTCTCATTTCTCGTTTTATGAGCTTCATGATTATTTAAATTTTTAACCCGTTGTGGGGCAGGTACCAGAATCTTCCATCTTTACATGAGATCGTGTTTTAATAGAAACATTGGGATGTGCTGCGTTTGAAAGGAATCGGATGCTCATTTCGCGTTTTATGAACTTCACGTTTGTTCAAAACTTTGACCCGTTTTGTGGGAGAAGGAGGAAGGAGTGGACCAATATATTTCATCTTCACAATATACTGACACACTGACAAAAAATATTAGGATTTGCGAAGTTTACACAAAATCGAATGATCCTTTCTTGTTCTATATGGTAAATAATTTCCTAAGAAATTTTTGACCTTTTGTAGAGGAGGTACCAGAAGGAGTGGAGCTATATTGCCCGTCTCCGAAATCGATCTAAGATTGACAATAATAGTACGATGTACCAAGTTTAGACCAAATCGGATACTCCCCTCGAGAGTTATCGTGTGAACCTGCCAGACAGGCAAATGTATGTACGTACGGACATTCTTGATATAGGAATGTTCGTTCGATGTTCTGATGCTGATTAGGTCTAAAGAGATTTAGGGTCTAAAACCGTTTTTGGATGAGGCACGTTTTGGCCATATCAAATGATATATATACTCTGCAGGCATATGGCTGAGGGTATAAAAAGCCCTTTGGTACATCCCCGTCAAGGGTTAACAATTTTGAATCATTTCTATTCGATAGTAATGGTGTGCTTCAGCGAAACACAGAGATAGTTACAGGGCTGGCGGACCGACACGTCTACATCGAATCCTAGTGTTCTGAAATGAACTACGCACAGAGAGACATATATCTAAACCGTTATAAATTTCCTACAACACAAGCCAATAAAATTTCCCGTAATTGGCCAACCCTCCTCTTTTGGCACGTCCAAGGAACGACAATCCTTTAAAATGAATTGTTTGGCATCACAAAAATGAATAACTAATGAAAGGCAGGACAACAAGGAGGACACAGATGCACACACAAGAGAAGTGTTTGTTTCATATAAGAGCATATAATAGATTCAAATAGGTTTGTTTGTGTTTGAGTGCTTTGTTTTTGTCGTCATATCCGCAAGCAAGGGCTTTGTTTGTGTATGCGTGTGTGTGTGTGTGTGAGTCGCACAACACAAGTCCTTGAGAAAAACATGACAACGCACACACGAATACACACTCAGCGATATACATAAACATGCAACATAGATATTTTCTGTTTTACTGCTTTTCAAGAAGGCACATACACGCTTTTATTGCCAAAGACTCTCGAATTTAGAAGAAAAGGGAACAAAAAAAAAAACGAAAACCAAGACGGCGACGACGACTACAAAAAGATAAAGATGCAACAGCAGCTGGAGAAGATGGTTGGAAGAATACCCCTTCTAGTATTTTGCACATCATTAGTGAGTGTTTCTTTGGTTTTTAGTTTTGAGCTTTCTTTTGTTTTTGCATGCATGTTGTTGGAAACAACAACAATGCCAGCCACAGCAAACCAAAGGACAACAACAGCAGCAGCAACAAAGGCAGGCTACGAAGAAACAGCCGTTGAAGATGTTGGGGAAACAACACTTCAGCCAGCGACTGAATGAGTAAGCACATGAGAAAGCGGGCGAATATGTGTGTGTGTTTGTATGTTGGAACGTGTTTTGTGTGAATGAATGGCCAGGCGGAAACGGAAGGTGAACACTTGAAACAAATATACATACATAACGATAACTGTGAAAAAAGTGTCAAGTATAAGCTATAATAATCTCAACAAGGGCACCAGAATGCAACTACTATCCAAAAGTAGTTGTAGTATTTGTTGTTAAAGATGTAGTTGTTCTTATTGTTGTTGTTGTTTCTATTGGTGTTGGTGCAGTGGATACAAGTGATGTGTAAGAGATGATGACAACAAGCAGACAATAATAACGAAAAAACAATGAAGATTCACATGCATTATAACAGCACCACTAATACAGAAGCAAAAGCAACAGCGGCAGCAGCAGCAACAACAACACCTCGAAATGGCAACATCTGCAGCCAGTAATAGTAGCAACAAAACCAACGACAACAACAACAGCAGTAGCGTAAGAAAAGCAAGTGTGACAAACAAAGCGGCATCTCTAAATACACATGACACTCATTCTTCTAACAAAGAGACATCAACACAATCAGAGTGTAAGAGAGAAGCTTTTACACATACACGCACACACACATACATACACACAAGCAGACACTTAGTTAAGACAAAAGACAAGACTTACATAGAGATAG